TACAAATCGTAGTGTTGTAACAGCGAATCAACCGTGGCGATTATACTTGGGAGCCTGTTCGACATTTTATCGGTCCTTCGTAAATTATTTTTAACTTAAGTTTCAATTTTTATTCGAGGATCAAAGGATAGATTCTAAGGCCTTCACGAGAAGTTTAATACAAATCGTAGCGTTTATTGAAGAAATTAATTATAAGTAGTAGTTTATCTTTGATTCGTCGGGGAAGAATTTTGTGGAAGAATTTTGTCTCTGGTTGTGGTTCATTGAAAGTGGAATTAGTTTTTGCTGGTGTATCTCGCGAAGATCGTATCGAAGGAAGTGTTATCGTTCGCGGTGAAGTATCTCGGTGGATCGGTGCTGTTCTGTTGGATGGTCGTTGTTCCCTGCAGCAGGAAGATTCCAGTTGAAGTTACGGTCGAGATGAAAAGATACTCTTCGGTAAGGAACACGCCAATGCAACCTGTTATGTTAACCCTTTGCGTTCGACGAGGTTTTCGGTACCTAGTCACCCTAGGGTGACCTTGCAACTTCGTTATGCGAGTATTTTACTTGTCACTTCGTTACAAGAAAATTCGTTTATTTACGGAGGGTTGGTTTGTTGGGTTTCTTTTTTTATCAGTTCTATTTTGTTTTTCACAACAGGCACCTTGTTTAGCGGATGAAAGCGACGATACTAAGAAGATCAAATCCATGGAGGTAATTTTCATTTATTACTGTTGATATTTTGTTGTTCGACCAAATTAGCACTTGGGTTAATAAATGAGCCGTTCTTCTTACAAATCGATTGATTCTATAAAACAAAAAATTGAAAAATGCTACGAAATATAAAAAGTTATAACTATACCAAGTGCTTTGAACTTAAATTTTAAATTTTTCAAAAGCTCCATAAAGCAAAAAGAAGAGAAATGCGACGAAATATAAAAAGTTACGACCATACTACATACTTTTACACTTGAATTTAAGATTTTTCAAAAAGCGGAGTCAATAAATTCGTACAGTGAACGGCTTAAATATTGGACCATAGAAGAAAGAAGATAAATCTCTGGCATATTACTAGCTTATTATTATTCTGGACCATATGAAATTTGTCCACTGTTAAATCTTTCATTAAAATCGTTACTTGGAGCACTAGCTGATATTATAAAACAATCGAGAATTGGGATTCTGATGTACCGAATGCATTTGCACTGTTATTTGTTTATTGCGCGTAACTCTACATCGCGCGAGTATACTTTTTGCGACGAGTGTACGTTTAATAGCGTGCATCTGCGGATGGTATTTGTACAGGAGCCAAACGCGAGGGAGTATCTGCAATTGGCGCTAGCCAGAGTGCTGGAGCTTCAACGAGAGATCAAAGAAGGCACGTACGTGACGGAACACACTAGCGATCTTGGTAATACCAATTTATTTAACAAACTCGCCCTCTGATCTTCCAAATCGTGCTTTTCATAACAAACGAATACCTTACCCAAGCTTATCCCCTCCATTTACAATTTTCTAATGGCAACAAATTATTTGTTATTACGAAATATGAAATAAAAGACCCTGTAAGTTTTATCAAGGTCCATTTAATACATTATTCTTAAAAAAAATCGTAAAACAACGCAGCATGTACTATTTTCTAATGATAACAAATTATTTGTTATCACGAAATATTCAATAAAAGATCATATAAGTTTCATCAAGGTCCATTTAATACATTACTCTTTAAAAAATCGTAAAGGAACACCTCGCGTACTATTTTCTAATGACAACAAATTATTTGTTATCACGAAATATGAATTAGAATTTTTTTTTTATCTTCTTCATACTAATTTTAGTCCACTAAAACTTAAATTACAAATTACATTAATACCAGACAAAAAATTCAGGTCTACATAAATGTTAAGACTGATTATTCCAACTTCAACATAATTTAAAATATAGATTTCGAGAGGGTAGCTATCTGGAGAATGAATTTCAGGCGAATCCAGCAGCGAGGAAGACCTGACGAAAGAGGTCCTGCGAAAGGTGTTCGAGAACTTACCTGGCACGCCAGGTGCGGTCGATAGCATCATCGACAGAGCGTCCGGTCCAAGGAACTCCCAACTCGAAGCGATCCACGGTAAAAAAATCCAGCTTCTAGGGTACGACACCTGTCGGAGGACCGCGGTAGACTTCATGAAGAACGCGGTTTACGAAACGAGGAGAAGCGCTCCTTCCAGAACACCTCATTCGAATCATCCTGGCTTTCGTCTGGGAACTTACTCGAGAAACGAGCCAAGGCTGGCGCATCGGAGGACAGGCTTGTTGAAAACTTCCCAGAGGAAGGAGGGTGGCTGTCTGTACGACGAGGAAATTCGGGACAGGATGCTGAGAAGCTTGGACCTTCACTTAGCTAATAAACAAAGGGATTACACCGCGAAATTGATGAGGTCGGGAATCTAGCTTAAGAAATTGCAGGATTTCATCCTGTTTCCTGCTGGATGCAATCGCGATCCCGCAGGGGAGATGTTTGGGACGTTTGCGAATGAATTTTGTCGAGGAACTTTAATAGTACTTAACCCCTTCATGCTCGAACGTAGATGCAATAAATTAAGGGGATAGTATTTTATTTTTGGTAATTTGCCTCTAATATGTACCACTGTGCATTCTCACAAATTTGATATAATGGGACCACAATGAGATAAATAATATTTTTTTTGTTTCACAAGTGCTAATGTTCGAAGAATTGTTCTCACGTGAGTCGAAACGATATAGTGGGTATTAAGGGGTGAAGGAACTATGATAGGCCGTGATTGTTTAAGAGAACTCGTAATATTTATTAACATCGTTTGATCTAGTCAAATAAATCCAGGGTTGTACCTGCCTTAAGCATCGATCTAGTCATGCACACAAGTCACTGAAAGTATTAATTGCGATGGCGAGGCCTCGCTAAAGATTATTTTTCTACAATTGTATAGGAGTTGGAGAAAATAATATGAATGTTAATTAATTCTTCTATCGAAACAATCTTCCAATTACTTGAGAGTTGTTTAGGGGAGGGATCTGCTTAAATAATATAATTTTAACAGTGTCCACGTCAGATATAGATGTATTATTCTCTTGGAAAATGGCATCACTCAAGCACACACAATCAATTCCATTGATATTCATACCCTATTGATGAAATTTATCTAAATTAAATTGTAGGTTTAATGTTTCGAAATAAATTTTTCATTACAAGTACACAAACGTGTAAAGTATATTTATATACAGCCACTGTAATAAGTATTCGTACAGGAACCATTTATTTTAAATTGGTAGCTGTACAAATACTTCTCACGCTGACTGTACATATTTACAATGAAACATTTATTCAGAAACATGAAATCCATATAAATCCATATATATCCATGAATTCATATAAATTTCGTCAAAAGACATGGAGGGTACGAATAATTTATGAGACTAACTTAACGCTATTTCCTTTTAAATAGCTACCTAAATCATTACAGAATCTTCATAATGAAAATTAAGAAGCAGACGGGTCGAATTCTACGTGTTTATATTATTTCATCTAGCCTCCATAAGTATACGCGTCTGTAATAAGCATTATAAGACATTGTAACCCAAATAAAATTATTCCGTATACAAATTCGTACCCCTGCGTGAAAGTTAACACTCCTTCCCTTCTAAATAATGTACAGGACAATAGGAGACGAATGATGTTTTGTAAAAAACGTTTATTCATAATGTACAATTAAAAAAAGGAAACAAAACATATCAAAGTACCTACGATACGACTTAAACGTCTAAAAGCTTCGCAAACCTCCGCTACGAAAGGTACAAAACATGTCAGAAGGCTCAATTAATCGATACTCGACCGGATGACTTCTGTCGATCGTTTATGACAATCAGCGAGACACCAAGCCTGAGTAAAAATACGTCTAACTTCTATAAAAAATAAATTATCCTTTCTCTCTCTCTCTTTTTTTCCCTAACAATTAGACACTTCTCGTTTTTCCTCGTTTTCTTTTCTATATTTCCTTTTTTTTTTTTTTGGATCACATACTGGGTACGCGCGTCCTCGAGAACGTTCGCGTTACTCCAAACGAAATATTATGCACATTTATGCGGTCTACGAGATATCTAACGTAATCGAAACGCAGCAGGACATCGACGGAAGAAGACGCCTCTAACGCACGAACGCTTGTTCATCCATCTCAACCGTTTCGCCAATCGTTTCTCGCGTTTCAAAATTCGACCAACAAAACGACGCGCTTTTGGTCGTAATCAGCCTCGGAGTTGCACGAAATGCAACGAAAAATTTACGTTTCCAAAGACTCCGTCGATTCTGTGCGCAAAAATGCACATTTAACGATCAAACATTTGATGTCCCTCTTGTAACCTAAATTACTTCATTAATCGTTATTTCCTTATTAATATCGTTAATTTAATTACCGGTCAGTTCTTTCGTCGCTACGCTAAACGGGTCCCACAGAGACGACCGACACCAATTTTTATAGACACCAGTTTTTATCGCCAACAATTTTTTACGCGGTTCCATTATACTAGATAAATCTTTAAATTGAAGGCTCTTTGTGATTAAACGCAGAAAATGTGTATCGACATTGGTGTTGGAGAATTCTGGTGTTCGAAATCTGTGTCGGGCATTTCCCTGGGAGCCACTCTAAACTGCTCTATCATAGTTATAGAGACAACCAAAAACACTCGTCTTCCTTTAAGGTTTCAGCTGCATTAATCCTTATAAATAGATTATTACTTTAGGAACTAACAGCGAAATAAAACTAATTTCTACAGCCTAAGCGGTTAAACTGAAATTTTTCGTTTCGTTGTTCTGTAATTAAAATGGCGGTACGCTACGTTTAAAGATAGCAACTAGTGTTTGTCGAGCGTCCTTATGGATACGTAGGCTAATACAACATCGATTCACTAGTCTATCATCTAAAATAACAACTAAGCATCTAAGGGTATCGTATAGAGGGCTCGAGCAGCAGGTCGATTCAATAGTCGCTGCCAATGAGAAACCAAATGGCGAAGGAAGACTGGCGGTCAGTATCGAACGAAACGATCGGTAACGATCGAATCGAACGGTTGTTAATCAAAACAATTAAATTTTCCTTCTACACTCCTTTCGGTTCCCTTCTTTCACCACTGTGTTCCGGACAAATATATATCCTCGCCACAATCACCTTCCTCTCGCGAAATCAATGGAATCGCGATCGATCCAAGCATCATCCCGTGTCATCGATTTTATATCTTTTAAGAATCTCACCGAACTTCGCGCTAAGAATAAGCTAAACATGTTCCTCATCGCGCGGCTCTTCAGTATTCGATCCTACAGTCCCATAAGTATCGTTCCCTCCGTGGTTTGCCTAAATTAAATGATGGACTCGATGTTTTGAAATAAATGTTCCATACGTACATGAATAGGTTTTATACATGTATTTATAATAAAAATTTACTTGGAACATCAAACTTCACATTTAATACAGAGAGTACGAACACTGGGACTGACTGTATCTTAACAAGGTGAATTTTGAAATATTGATCCATCTTCTTAAATTTAGATGTATACAGGGAAAGATGCACTCTCTTCTTGATATTTTTAATATTGTAGATCCAGGGAGATTCATTAATGCAATGCCTTGGGTCCCTTCATTGAAATGAACCCGAAGAGGGCTCCTTCGAGAAAAGAAGGCCTTAATTTATTCTCCGCAGATTTTAATGTGCTTTTGCAGGATAAAGTCTCCGGTGCATTGAAGCATTAAATGTGGATGCTTAATATTTGCAAACTGGTAAATGGTTCATTCTAAAAGCAGTGTAAGTGAAGGCATACAGACAATCCCACAAATATTCATAGTTTTAATATTACCAAATGTATATATTTATACATTTAATTGAAACAAATTTCTTTAATGGATATAAGAGGGTATGGATATCTATGGGACTAACTGTATTGAGTAGAAAACCTCGATTGTTACAGGAAACCAATTCCTTGATCAGAAACTCTACACATCTTTGATCTTCCTTTACTTCAAGACACAAAAGATTCGCGCTTTAATCATCAATAAAGCGTGATACAAATCTGCCCTGCTTCTAAAACCACCTTCCACCTACATTTAATTTTCAATGCACCCCGAGAGGACCGTCTACCATTCTCCAGCAGCACGTTACAATCAGCGAGAAGCAAGTTGGAGTCTCGCAGGATACCAAGAACAAGAAATTGTTTACTTTCCCTTCACATGTAATTCAACACGTTACTTTCGAAAGCCCAGAAGATTGCAACCAAACAGGGATCGAATTTTGGACGCGATCGTGGAACGTCCAGCGGTGTCTCAGTGCTGCTGCACGAGGGTGGGTCCGCTGCCAGGATTCCTCCAAGGATCGGGTATGTCGAAGTGCGCGGGAACGGTGATCAGTGCGTCGTCCGCGGTTCTGTCGGCGCTGCAATTCTTCGGCTTCACGCGAGTGGTGTTGACGCATTCAATGGGCAGCTTGAAGAACTCCAACTTGTAGTTGTAGCCTTGGCTGCTGGCGCGGATGATGGTGTGCAAGGGGACCTCCATGTACGGCAGCTCCTCTCGCTTTTTGTCCATGAAGAAACCGATGATGCAGCGCAGGACGGCTTGATGGGACACCACCAGGATGTTGTCGGACGTTTGGAGGTCGGCTAGCACCGGGTCCACGCGCTGCATAGCGTCGATGTAACTCTCGCCCCAAGGATAACGATAACGCAGCTTGTCCTGGTCGCGCCAAGCGAACTCCTGCGGGACAGATTTAAAATTAGAGACGTTCGTTGAAAGGAGAGATTCGTTATTGTGGTAGTGAATAGCGAAGGCTTCTAATTAAAAATAGTACCAAGCGAACGAAGCTTATTTTGCAGTAGTTGTAAAGAGATCCTTCTCATTGAGGAGTGATGGAACTGTTTTTGGCAGCGAGAACAACGTTGGGACTAACGAAACGATTCAAGGAGACTAAAATATGAAATTGTCAAGTTCGATAAACATGCTTAAAGCGACATAGTTTCTATTATTTTTGGAAGTCCCTTTGCAAGCTTGTGCCAGAGTGTTCACTTATAACGGTGGCATCGATCCAACGCTCACTTGCGACATCGAACCGTTCGATAATCAGGTATCGTCAATCGAGGTTACTATGTTTGTAACTATAGTTATAAACAGGGTGTCTCGGTATGTTCTATGTGCAGAAAATAATATTTCTACTCGTATTGAACGCTCGAAGCTGCGAGTCCACGCTTATTTCAAAACTATATGTTTACATATAACACTTATGAATAAAGAACAAAATAAGTGAAAAGATTCATTTCAACAGACAATAAATCAGACAAGTTTTTGTGAAGATATTTTCTTTAGACAAATTTATCTTCTGTTAAACCTATAGCGTTTTATTTTTATTTTTTTTAGTGACAAAGAAAGTCTAACATGTTTCTAGGATTGCGCACTATATGTTTGTGTATAACACTTATGAATAAAGAACAAAATAAGTGAAAAGATTCATTTCAACAGACAGTAAATTACGTTTATTTGAAAACAAAATTCACGTCAAAGTTTTTGTGAAAATATTTTCTTTGGATAAATTTATCTTTTGTTAAACCTATAACGTTTTATTTTTTTAGCAACATAAAAAGTCTGACACGTGTTTAGTATTACGTAAAAATTTCATGAACTTTAAAATAAAATTGTCCGAGATATACACTTTCGTTGGCAATCATGCACCTTGTCTTAAAATTGTCTGGCATTTCACGAATATATATATGAAAATTTTCTCTGCCACTGGAAGATTTAATTGAATTAATTACCTGTGGATAGTGCTCCTGCATTTCCTCGTAGGAGAGGCCCTCGCAGATTCCAGCGTGAAGCTCGTTGAGCGCTGCCACGTGCTCCTGAGGCGCCTCGACGCCTCGAGCAGTCGCGATGGTCCTTCGCAGGCGACTCGTCAGGACACGAAGATCTGGTATACGCATCGCGTTGAACTTGGTCGCCAATGCCTGCGCGTATCTCTCGCCGCGAGCGCTCAGAACCGCGTCGCCGCCAACTTTGCCCAGGACGTTGTACTCGCTTTCTCCGTGCTAGAAACGAAAAGAAAAACTCCGTTTTCACCGTCTATCGATTCTATCAAATTCGCAGCGATCGCTAATGCCTTGTTTACGTCTCCTTGTTTATTTGTTTCGTGTTTACATCTTGTTTACATCTACAGTCAGTCGGGTAAATATTCGTACTCTCTATATCTATTCAAGAAATTTTCCGAAATCAAATGTTAAGTGTCATGTCTCCAAATAAATGTTTATTATTCATATATACATGTGTATGTATACATATGTATACAATTACATGTACATGTGTACAGACTGTTTATGTACGTTGTCATAATGGAACATTTATTTGAAAATATCAAATCTATCATTTAATTTAAGCTCTCAAAAGC